CATTATGATGTTTTGTAACACTGGTAGATGCTGATTTACTGCTGTGATCTGATGACAAGCGTACTAGTTCCTAAAGCAACCTTTTTGTAGCATGGGGCTGACCATGATCCTCTCTATCTGTTGTCATAAAATGCTGCTGTTGTGGTGTTCATTGTTATCTGGAGCTGTGAAATACTGAGTAGAAACACTATGTGCACCAGATGAATGGCTCTGAGATCTAGCATTTATGCAAAGATAAGTCTCCTGAAGTGTTCAAAGGCCTTGAACCTCCAGATTTCCATCAGCAACCTCTTGGTGTGGCAAGGTGGAGAAAATGATACTGATGCATACATGAAAAAGGTTCTTCTATTGATTTAATGGTGAAATAACTGCTTGGGGGATCTGCACAGACATGTCCACGTGTTGTAGTCTAAGAATATTCATAGATTTCAACCAGCATTGCATGAAGCATAGGTGAAGTCTGGCAAGCAAGTGTAAGATGCTGTTTAACTCAGATTTAGAGATGATGGTACATGAGCACAGTTATGAACTTCACCAGGGTTTGGAATCTCTCCTGTGGTAGATAAGATCTTGCTGATGAAGATACTAACACACCTCCTATGACAGTCTTTGGGTCAGTAAGAGTTATGAATATTTTTTCTTTTTCCCAAGCCACACTATAATGAAGTGTAGAATTAAGCAAATTGCACTGATCTTTCTCAAATTAAGTCCTCACTCAGGCAAGTGTACACATAGATCTTTTGTTTCCACAGGTAAGACACCACAACTACCAACTTTGGGGCAGAAACCTATTTTACTTTACTTCCTGGGCACTCAAGAGAGACATATCTCAGGTCAGGAGGAGGGAAACAATCTAGCAGGTGTGTACCTCAGTAAGATGTTCTCTGCCCTGGAGGGGACCCTGGGTTCTAGCCTGAATCCTTTTCCCAATAAGACAGAAACTTCCCCACTGTATTACCCAAACAGCCTTCCCTGCCTATGTCCTTAGACCAACACAGTTACAACCTATACCCACTGTATCAAATGAATGCTGAAGAAAAGGTGTAATGGTTCAGCTTCAAGCAGAGGACTAGATAATAACCAACTTGTGACCTGGTTATTAGAACACCATGTTGGAGAAAGTTCAAACCCTTTCTGGATGAGAGGGATTGCCCATTTCCTGGACACTTGGGTTGCCCATTTCCTGGAAAAGTTCCCCTGCTGCTAAGCTAAAACACAGGAGGTCCACCCACATCAACATTTTTATCACACTACAAGTAGGCTTTATACTCAAGCACACATGTCTGGAGATGTGTACATGGTGACCCAGAGTACAGCCTGCTGGGCATGCTCAGTAGCTGTGTGAAGATTTACACCTCCACCTAGAACATGGAACAGAGCTACAAACTGGGTACCTGTGCCAAAAATAGACGTTACATGCTATGAGCACATAAAGTGAAATATAATTCTGCCTTTGCTGAATACCCATGGTGATATTAAACTTGGAAGTGTCTATTTGAAATTCTGCCATATCAAAAACATCTTAGTACAGCTCATGACAATGACTGGGTCACCAAAAGTCTAAAGACATCATGGATTTCAGCTCCTCTCTGTATTCTTGTGGGCAGCTTTCTATAACCTGTTATATTGTGGCAGAAGCACCTGGTAAGTAGGTTTGAATAGATTTTTCAGTCAAGTAAATCCACTATTTTGGATCTTTCCCTCTTGGCATTATCTTTGGGGGCTTCACCTCTTTGGATCTTTAATCTACCACTACTACTTGTAATCCAGAAGCTGGATGGATAGGAGAATATTCAAACCCCTTAGAGGGGAATTGATATTTTCTCTATGTGCTTTCTTAGGCTCTACAGATGCTGGTATCAGATACTCATCCCTCCCTCCTCTCCCTAAATTCTAGTAGCTCTTCATTAATGGGCATTGAAGTCTTCCAAACATGAAGGAGAATAGAAGGTCCAGTAACTTGTGTGTAAGAGGCTAAGCGTGGAAGGAATTACTGCCTTTCCTGCTAAGGAAAAAGATATTCATACTGGAATCAATGACTTTTTCACTTCCTGCTCTTGTACTTCTTCACTGTCCTGTACTGGATGGTGCATTTTGCATGACTGAACCACCTGACTCTCTTATCTTACTAACTGTTATACAGCCCAAGGGATCTTGTGTAAATGGATTCCATAGAGTATTGATAATGGGTTTGTTGGTTGGATACAAGGGAAGTATCCATCCAATCAGGCTCCATATAAATGGGAGCAAAGTGAACAAGTAGGGCATACCTCTTTACTATGTTTAGAAGGGGAAAAAGAAAATAAATAATCATCTTCTAAAGTCCTAGCACCCTGCTTGGTAGGGGTGACCTTGAATCATCTCTCCCACCTGAACTGGAGAGAGAACCATTGCCAGAGCAGTACTAGTACTTAGTCCAAAAAAGAAAGCCCAATAATAAAGGAGAACACAGACTTATTGTGTAATTACCAGCAAGATCACTTGGCACCAAGGACATTTGTACAGCAGGAACAGGCACTGGCATCATGGGGATCATTGACATCCAAGTACATTGCTACTACTAGCAAGAGGCTGGGATGCCACTAACTGTAGATTACTGTGTCATGTGGCTCAAGGCATCAAAGGAACCTGATTTGCACGATTGTCTACCTTTTTGTTGAGAGGCCTTGAGGAGATTTTTGCCTCATTTTACTACATCCCAAAGAGAATAACCTAAGCCTGCCTACAATGTAGGAATATATTCCTCCTACTCACTTCAGATAACTCAGCAAATGAGTGTTCAGCTATTTTATTAGCCCTGGTCATCAAAGTTGTTGATCTTTCAGAGTAAGATTGAAGCCTGGAAATTCAAAACGGATCCACAGCTCACAGAAGCGCTCCCTGAGGAAATCCATTCAGTCCTGGTAGGTCCATTTTTGTTTGGTTTTGAGGAGGCTTTCATCAATTGCTCCAGGAGAAGCAGTTTAATATGGACATCTTTCATTGTCCTTTAAGAGGAGAAAACACTAAGCACCTAAGAGAGATAGGTGACTTTTTTCACCTGAGAGAAATTAAAAAGCAACTCAAGAACCAATTAATAAGTAGAACAATGGTAGCACAAGAGAGGAACACTTCGAGGAAATTTGGCAAGAGGACATACTAGGCCATCCCATGCACAGGGCTGTTCCTGACTATGTGTAAGGGTTGTCATCAGAAGTACGATCTATGTGGATTCATTCAAAGAAGAATTGTGTCATTCACATGGGTATCTGTGGAATAGCAGTCTAATTACTAAAGACTGGGTAAACAATCATAATTACCAAGAGTTCAGAATATAGACAAAGTTATGACTAGTTTGTCCATTAGGTGAATCCTATCTGAGTATCTGCAGAATGGCATTAATGGGATCCATGAGTCATGGTGTCTAATGAGAGGAGAAAAGCAATTCAGTCACTGCCTGTTTTTTCAAAGTTTTCTTCCTTATATATGGTGCATTTCTACATAAAAAGAAAACAACCCACTGAATGTTTCATTCAGTTCTCTGTTTGAAATAACTATATCCTTGTCCTGTCCCCTGCAGCTACAGAAAACAGTCTATCTCCATCCTCTTTATAATCACCCTTCAGGTATTTGAAGACTGTTATCAAATCCCCTCAGCCTTCTCTACTCCAAACTAAATAATCCCAATTTGATCAGTCTTTACTCATAAATCATATTTCCCAGGTGGCTAATCTTTTTTTTTCTCCTTGAAATATAGATACAAGGTTGAAGGGTAGCAACAAGGTGGGTAAAAACTGCAGAGTACCTTGAAGAATAGGGCATCAATTTCAGTTGAATTAAACTTCTACTTATATTGCCCTTCTCCCCCCCCACTTAAAAAAAAAAAAAGCCATGGAAATTTTAACATTTAAATGAGAAAGAAAGGAAACAATTAAAATGACTAACACTTCAGGTCTCAGGCAGTTGGATGGTGGAAACAGAGAGCTTTTAACTTCAGCCTTTACAGAGCCTGGAAGGCATGTCACTATCTATCACACCTTCACACCATTTCATATGTTACTACTTCACTTTATTAATGTTATGTCCACAGGCGTATACAATCAGTTCAATTCAGAACTCGTTAACTGGCTCCGGAAGATAGTCTAAAGGACTGTGTCTTATAGAAGATGTAGTTCTTAGCCAATGAAGGAGATTCCATACAAGACAACCTGCATTCATGATTGTATGATTTCTACACATTAGTCAGATAACCATGTTTGATTTTTATGGACTCTTTCTTTTCATGGTATGTATACAGAACAATATTTTGTCAAATTTCTGTGTTTAGATCGTTTAAAAAAAAAGCACTGGATGGTACTGTATAATTTTACCTTTATCCTTCACTACTGCAGGATGCTTGACTTCCTTTTCTTTTACATGCTCTGTAAAAAATACAATAATTTGATAATAAACAATGATTAATAATTAACATGAAAACTTGATGACAATTCCTTATCATACAGTTGGTGCTTTCATACAGACCCAAATTATCATTTAAATTTTTTGACAAAAACAGTGGTTTTGGTCAGGTTTCACATTCTTACATAGACAAAATCTAGATCCTGCTTAACTACAATGTAAAGACAAAGATAATTCAAAGCATGTCCTGTATTGCCAAAAAGGTCTTAGCAGATATTTCTGAATGCTGAGTTTGTAATCCTGAATCTTAATACTAACATTCCACATTGCTTTGGCTCTCTTCCTCATCTATAATTCAAACAATAGCAATTAACCTAAATATTTCCTAACTTCTGAAATTTTACTTTCCTCCCAAATTCACAATTATAGCATACATTAAAAATAAGACAGCCATACATAACGGGGAAGGATTTTCTCAAATACTAAATATCAGACATTAATACGATGTTATGGTTCTGGATTACCTTTATGCTTTGTGGCAGCAGGTTGCACTTGTTTCTCTTTTACAGGTTCTGCAGAGAAATATTTACCATTTATACAGTGACAGACACAAAAAACTCCTTGTTTATGAAATCCAGAGAAGTAATCCTATGAGATACTGCACCTTCTAGGTAGCTGGAGGTAGACTATAAACTGCACATTAGCAAGGTTGGCAAACAGCAGAACGATTACGGAAATTGTATGAAATCCACCTATGTAGCTTCACAGAGGGCTCAGTCCACAAAAAAACAATTTTTCGTTTTCATTATAAGACCCATGACATTTACTAGGCTTCACCCAGAAGTTTTTCTCAAGTCAAGAATACCTTTTAACTTCAGCTCTGATGTGAAGGGAGTAAACTGACCTGTTTCCAATTCTGATCAATAGTGTCTGGGTTACTCACTTCCCTTATCCTATTTCTTCAAGGGACCAGCAAAATTAATTTGATCCATTTTAATCCTCCCCAAATCTTGGAGAGGGTAGCTTATATGTCCATTTTCTTCTATATTTCCATTCCATCCTGGTATAGGCATATGCTTCTGCTCTTAGTGCTTACTTAATGCTCTGAAGTGACTCAACTCAAATGCAAGAAAGAAGATCAACCGATGGATTATTTTCCTTTTTTTCCTGAAGACAAATAATTGTGGATGCCATCTACCACCTCACTGAAGACATCAAGAACATTTTGAAAGCGTGTGCCTAGCTTGCTATATAACCTGAGGAAGAGTGAAGAACAAGATCAATAGGAAAGAAGCAGCATCAAATGTTGTCCTTACACACATACAGGTAGGGTGGGGAATGCCAAAAGCCCTAAGTGGTTCTTCCACATGCCAGGAGATAGTCCTAATGTTAAGCCCTTGGTCTAAATTAGGTAGAAAAAGACATTAGAAATGTTATTATGGAGGTTACTTAGCTTTAGGATGAAAGGAACTAGAATGGAGAGCCCCAGCTCAGAATAGCTAAATAATAAACGGTACTAACAAGTTTAAGTTTTTACTTAAAATTAAGCAGAGTAGGAATTTGAGCATTGGTCTTCTATACCCAAGACAAGTGCTACCCTGGGCTTTGAGTTTCATCTTTGGCCAGAAGTTCTATCCTGGATCTCAGTGAAGGTATTGAAGAATCAGCTTTTTCAAAAACAAACAAAACAAAATAGGACCCCCCCCCCCCAAAAAAAAAACAACAAAACAAAACAAAACAACACAACAGCTCTAGAGGTTGTTCCAGATCAGCCCAGGCCTTCCACTCAGGAGCTGAGATCTGGCCAGCAGTCCAACACTTGAAGGGACTGGAGATCACAAAAATAAAAGCCTAAGTCTACAAATAAGTGACCTGAGTCTCATTATAGAGGAAAGTTATGTTAGGGGGAAGGATGCAGATCTGAAACACATCAGAATTTGCTGAAAGATGTGAATAATTTCCATACCTTTTACTAGCAGACTGAAATTACATAGATTTTACATGTTTTGTTGGAAAAAGGCAGAATGCAGCACATCTCCAATGATTTATATTTTATTACTGTAATAATGAAGCTTCTTGCATGTATTTCTGTGTGGTGCTTTTTCCAGGACAAATCTAATGCATGGGAAATTCAGCTATAACGAGACCTCATTTATATCAAAATTGATAAAATTGCATTCCTGTTACAGTGAAATTCCTGTTATAATGGGTCTGGGAGGAAATTATTTCTTTGAAAGAGTGGTTCTATGTAGTGATCACACATAAAGAGTCTCTTCAGACATTTTCCTTCCAAATAGTTACATTTATAAAGGAAAAGGGCTGGAAACAGTTTTCTGAATTAGGTTAAAATGTGATTTTATTGCAAAACGTCTGTTTTTTCCTGTTTTTAAAGTAGACCCAGTGTCTGTTTCTGAAGTAATTGATGCGCCACTGGTCTCTCATTTCTGATTTGAAATGCTGTCCCTGACAATCAATAATCAGATATAATCGAAGTAGAGAAAAGAAACAATTAATTGTAGATGTTTGTAAAATATACCTGGGGGTGTCAAGTATTAATATAAAATTTCAAGCCACTACAGTATGTAAATACCAATTTAAAATGAACCTACATAAATCCTAAGAGTAATTAAATCTAGAGCCAAAGCTGACTATAATCATCTCATTGTGCTTAGGTACTTCAGAAGATACCCAACAGGGATTTTGTATACAACAATATCTTCTGTAACACCTAGGCAACAAAGAGACAGATGAAATATGGAGCTTCAAGCCTCACATTCAGTGTCTTTTTTGAGGAGGTGTTATGTTGAGATCCCTAATATAATTCAGTTGCGGCTTTTGTGGGCAGTTCCACCAGTGCTAGTAAATAATATTGAATTATATATATGTATATAATATATGTTATATTATTCAGTGTACAATTCACTATTGTTTTCTGACACTGGTGGAATTAACCACAAAACTGCAACTGAATCATATTAGGGATTTCAACATAATTTCTTCTCAGAAAAGACACCGAATGTGAGGATTGAAATTCCATATTTGATTCTCTTTGTTGCCTAGTCCAGAAAATACCTAGAAGGAGAAAAAAAAAAGAAAAGCCAGATGACATTGCACAGGGATAAACCCATTAAGTTAGAAAGCTTGGATTTAAGAACTCATAAGCAATCTCCAGTATTAAGAGCACAGTCATTGGGCTCCTCTAAAAGATGTCAGACTAGTTATTTAATTTAAATATATCAAACATTCTGCACGGAAAGCCAGAATAATTTACCACTGAAGCCCTAGGTCCCAAGTGATTAGTGATTTAAAGTGGGGGGGGGGGAGGGGGGTGATGCTTATGATCACTTAGCATGTGTTATGCTGATTCTGCAGTGATACAAGTTAGCTAAATGATCCTAATATTGACTCTGAATAAAAAAGTTAAAGTTGAAGCAGTTTTGCTACACTTGTATCACCACAGGATGCAGGCATGACAACATCATATAGTCCTAACAACTGGATCATAACAGTTTATATTGGGATTGTGTTACTTCTGTGTACCCTTAGTTCATTTCTTGGTAGATATGGGTGTCTACACGAGACATTTTACAGCACAGTAGACTAATCTACTGAGCAGGAAAACATCACTATCTACATGTGTGCAACATTTACTGTGCAATAAACTGGTCTACTGCACAGTTAGCTAGTACCTGTAAATAACATGTAGTAAACTAACTGCACAGTAGATACCCTGCAGTAGCGCATGCATAGATGCTGACCAGAAGCAAATTTACTCCTAGTCAGCCCCTTCACTAGGGGTCCACAGGGGACAGGGAACTTTACCAGTCCTGGTGTTGCTCAGCTCCCAGATCTACCCAGGGTAGCTCCTCACAGAAGCCAGGAGGTGAGCAGCATCAGGGCTGGGAAGCTCTCTGCTTCCCCACACAGCTGAGGTCTGGCCAGGAGCTGTCCAACTTCTGGGGCAGCTCCCATCCAGTCCTATCCAGCTCCTGGCCAGCTCCCAGCTGCACATGGAAGCCCAGCTGGACACAGGACTCATTCCTATGTGCATGGGGCCAGAAGACCTTTGCAGCAGCAGCTGTGTCCTGGCTCTGTGCACATCAGGACCCCTTCTGATGTGTATGAGGCAAGGAGAAAGCTGCTGTTGAAGGTGGCAGAGCTCTCCTTGCCCTATGCACATAAGGACTAGGCCCTGTGCTCCCTGCCAGCCCCCAGGGGGAGTCTGTAGCTCCTCCTGTATTGGGCTGCTCCCATTGGGAGCAGAATTGTTCTCAACAGGGAGCACGTGTAGACATCCTCCCAGCGGAGACTTACTGGCTGCATCTACACGAGACACTTATGTGCAGTAGCTTGTTACTACTGCAGACTAGCTCAGTACTACATCATAGTACCATCACCAGGCATGAACTATGATGCAACACTATTGCACAGTAGTAGTGAGCTACTGCATAGTAAGCATCACTAGGCAACCATGCCAGGATGCTACTGCATAGTAACACCGGTAACTGTTCAGTCATTTAGTACTTGGTTATGCAAGTACTAAATGACTGCTCAGTAACAACTGTGCAGTGGGCATCCCATGCAGATGCGCCCACTGAGCAGTATGGTCTCCTATAGACATGCAGTGGGGCTGCTCCAACATCCTATAAATCCAGTGCATGAAGCAGACTCAATTAATCGAACCTGCTGAAGCATGGAAATTAATGTGCTGCAGAAGTCTCCAGCATCATGTGTATTAGCACTGAAAAATGGTGGTGGGGCACATTAAACTAAAGCTTGTTCAATAAGATTTAGTTCAAAGTGCTCCACCAATGTTTTTCAGTGCAGAGACACTGATACACATGATGCTTGAGTGCTTTTAATTAGTGCATCTCGCTACATAAAGAGCCCCCTGCCCCATTTCCCAAAGCACATCTCTAAACACCCTGTTTTACTTCACACTAAGTCTTTATAGCATTAATAGTGTGCTAATACTGGACTAACTTCACTAGTATAGATATTCTTCTTTTCCTTTTCTTACTGTATATTGCAGGTTAATAACTACTATCACAAGTGTCACTTCACACAAGTGATGTCACTTCTTAGTTTTAGAGCCTCAGAAGTGCCTATTATAATTTAGAATTTATCATCTGGGAAAAAGTGCTTTCATACTTTCCCTTGAACTTTCAACTCTGATCCCATCCTACATACAGCTGACTGAGCTAACTGGGTAAAATTTTCTTTTCAGTTAAATCCTAGTTCAAAGCAGTTTCCATTAAGCCTTTTCTTTACCTTTCTTGTGAGAAACAATGAGAGATACAGCAATAGACTTATGCCAGAATACATTAACTGGAATGTGCTCTTTACAATATAAGAAGCAATCTGAGTGATATGCCCCTCCACTGAGCTAGGTTGTGTGAATCTACTGCACCAGAGTCAGCATAGGGTGGCTACAACTGGCTATAACCAACCTATTCAGGTGTTCTTTGGTCCAGCTCCTTATCAATCTATGCAAAATCCTATAACTGAGGTTTGGCAAAGAAGGGCCAGAACTTTACTCATTTTTATACAAGCTTGAAAAACACTATTATTTTCATTAACCTTCCACTTTTCCTTATGATACAGTGGAATTTCCTGATCTTTGCAGAAACACTAGGCTAAACCATTTGCAGAGCTCACTGATAACAATTGAAGACCTGTCTAATATATTATTAAAACTCTACATGTCTTGTCAGCAGTTTCATACACTCATAGAAATGGTGGGCTGGAAGGGATTTCAAGCATCCTAGTTTGACTCCTTCAGTGAACTATCATCCAGTGCACTTAAGCCTTCTGGACAAATGTTTGTCTAATGTGTTCTTAACAACCTTCAGTGATGGGGATTCTTCAGTCTCACTATGTCATCTAAACCAGTCTTTCAACACTCCAACAGTAAGAATAATTGTCCTAAAATTCTATCTAAATCTACTTTGATGAAAATCAAACTATTTTTTTCTTTTCCTTCCTTTAGTAGCCATGGGGAACATTTGATCACTGGGTATATCTACACATGTGCTTTAGTGCACATTAGCTTATTTTAATACATATTAAAGCTTCACTAAAAAATGTGTTATTTAGTTAATGCACATTAAAATAGAGTAATGTGCATTAAGCATCACCTAAAAACCACGCTCTTTAGTTAATTTGCATTAAGACAGGCTAATGCGCTTTTTCCTAGTACCTCACAATGGAGGTAATAGATTTAATGTGCAGTAACTAAAGTGTGTTAATGCACGTGTAGATGCACCCATTGTCTTCTATGCCACAGGTTGCTACAAACTGGAAAGCTGAATGTGTTACCTCAGTCTTTTCTCATCTGGATTACAAACCCTATTCCTTCAGTCTTTCCTAATTGTTCATATTTTTAAAAGCTCTTGTAATTTTTCTTCCTCTCCACAGGACTCTTTCTTGTTTCTCCACATCCTTCTAAACATGTCATGCCATTGGTTAGCCCTAAAACGAGATGCATTCTTACCTCCACTGTTAATATGTCTCTAAATGAGATTTGTGTTTTTTTGCAGCAGAATCATCTGGTTGACTCATAATTAGTTTTTTATCCACTTTAACCTTCAGATCTTTTTCTGTCATACTGCTCCCTCACCACATATTGCCCAATTTGTATTTGAGCATTTGATGTTCCTAATGGGAACATTTTGAATTTATCTTTACTAAATTTAATTTCATTCAGTTCAGATCACTTCTCTAATTTGTCTCCATTTTGAACTCTGAACCTGTCCTCCAAAGTGCTTGCTTCCTCTGGCTTAGTGAAATTCACAATGTTTTAAGTTTAATCTCTAGTCAACCAAACAAGTTCTTGATGAAAATGTTAACCAGAATCAGATCTAGGCAGACCACTGCAACACTTCACTTGAGAAGCAATCCCAGGTTGACATTTGACAGGGAATCATTGAGAACTTCCTCTTTGTGCCCTCACTGAATGGTAATTACCACTAATTACCATTATTTTGCTTCTGAGACTATGCAACAGTGTCAAGATCTTTATTATAGTTGAGATTTAGCACATATACTACTTCTTCCTTATCTGCTAGGCCAGCTGTGCCTTTTCTTTACAGAAATAGCATGTTGCTAAACAGAATTCATGATGAAGGGTAGGAAATCCCCTACAGGATGTGTGGTATGTTAAGACACCAAAATGGTGTAGTCTAATCATCTGTGTCATTTTCAGTTACATAAAAGAGAGGCAAAGCCAGAATCCTGACTGAAAGTCTCTCTTGCTCAGCTAAACAGAACAGAACACTTGGCAGACACAAATGTATTTGCATCCAACTATCCAAATCTAATGCTTTTTTTTTCCCCTTGTGCCATTGTCTTTCCAAGTTAGATAATATCAGTATACTTCCATGTTTTTTTACCTTGTTCCACTGCCTTTGTTGTTTTCTCTTCCTTCTTTTCAGGTACAGCTGCAAAACAAAGATAAGGTTTAAGTAAGATTTCTGGCCAGAAGTGCTGTTCCTACCAACAAAGCTTTTCTTTAGTAATTCAATATCTAAAGATTACCTGAAGCAAATGCTTTCAAAGTCTTGTGACTACTAGATGTATCTCTTTCTGATATGTAATGACATAATACAGATTAGTAATATGTCTTTGACCTATCCTTAAAGAACAGCAATAAGACAAAAGTGAATTCTTCGTTGCTTTCAAAATAAATAATACATTTCCTTCTTTGTCTCAAGAAAGACATGGAATGGTGGCACCCTGTCCCAGCAAAAACTGTACACATCCTTATACATGTATTACCTGAGTTAAGTACTTGTATAATTGTTTTGAAGGATTGGTAAAAGCATAGACAAATAGATTGCTCACACCCTGTTTCATTCTACAAAGAAAATATCTAAAGAAAAGGCTGGGCATGAATTGAGGCCATGCCCAAAAAAGAGGAAATATTTATCTGGAATAATTCCTGGAATAATTCAAATATATTCCTTCTTATTTTTTGACATTAAGATGGTCCTTTTGGGAATGTGCAAGATCTGGAGATCAATCAATGCATTCAATACAATTTATATGCTTTGTCACATTATTCAGGGACAACAATCTTGCCAATATGCAAATGCTGTATCTGCATTTAGCTGGAGGTGGTATTGTGACAATTCAACATTTGTAAAATCAACATGTGGTTTGTTTGTTTTTTAAGTCAAATACTTTTTTTAAATCAATGGTCATTCCCCTGTAGTGTTTGAGAGACAAAAACTGCAGCGCTACACTGAAAAGAAAATGTCTTACCTGATTGTCATTTTTCAATTTGGAAAATAATATAGTTAAAAACCAGCATAAATGGCATGAAATAAACTGGACTGTGAAAACTCTCCTTTAAGACCAGGTTAGTATTAAGTGAAAACAAAAAGTCTGTTTGTATCAATTGTTTTCAGTCCATAACATCCTTCCAATTTTTTTTTTTTTTTTGCCAAACAGAAAATCAGTTTTTATGCATTATATGATTGCTCACTGAAAAAATAATAGCAACAATATAGGATTAGGTCCATATTCTAAGGCCCATATTCTTCCATCTTTACTTACCCTGAGTAGAGCTTGTTGAACTCAGAGTGGCTGAGTACCCTGAAGCACTTAGAGCACATGCTTGACTTTTAGAATATAAGTAATGTCAGTTCATTTCAATGATTTATCCTGTTTCTATTCTATTCTATTCTACTTCGTGTCTGAGGTGAAACATACTGAGTCAAGGTTCGGGGAAGCAATCCTATTCCACTTCTTATTTATATAGGTCCCCTGTTCTTTCAATAGGCAACCAAACATGCCACCAGAAGCCATATCAATTCTGCACAGATATGTAACTCTCCTATTCTGGCAATGGGCAGCCTTACATACCTCCAGAGGACAATCCTATTACACAAGGCTGACATGACTACAAATGACTTCCATTCCTGACCGCTTAATGGCCCAGGTTCTTCAAAAGGAGGGCTTGAAGTTTCTTCTACCCAAACTATTCTATAGCTGTATGTTTAGGGCACTGCTCTAGGAGGTGGGAGCTATACTAAGTTATTCTGGAATTTAGGCAGCATTTATAGACCTGGCCCAGGAGTGGCGGGGAGGGAGGGAGGACTTTAATTAGAGTGACTGTGAGAGCCACTCTAATTAAAGTGCCAGGAGTGTCTCATGTATCAGCATCCCCACACATAAAAATGGTGGTGGGGGTGCTTTAGATAAAGCCACCATTTTTAAACACAGGAATGCTGATGCACAAGATGCTGGAGGCTGCTGGAGCACAGTAAGTACCATGCTTCAGCATGCTCAATTAATCGAGTCTGCTCCCACGTGCTGTAATGATAGCATTTCGGATCAGCCTCGCTGCTTGTATATAGGTGCCCCATAATTGCTCCTGGGTTGTTTAGATACCTAAAAGTCTTGTCTAGAGCTGGTTGTTAAGGTCTGCAATGATGAATAAACTAATATTTTAAAAATCTGAACAGTGTGCTCAGCACTTGCAGAGTGAAGACCAATATAAAGTTTTAGTGTGAGTAAGGGAAATGGATGTTAAAAAGGTTGCTAGAATCTGGTCCCAAATGAATTTTAAGGTATACACATATGTACAAAGCTACTATGATAAGGATTAAATTAATTTAAAAACTCTTGGTTTCCCCAAATTATATTTACCTTTTTTAGCTGAAACCACAGCTACTACTTCTTTGGGTTGTTCAGTTTCTGAAAATTCAGGAAAATAATAAAATGAAAAACAGTCAGCAAAAATACCTCAGATACCAGACAGAAAGCTTAAAAAGCAGCGGAGCTGTGCTCTGAACAAAATTAAAATAGCCCTGGACAGCAAAGGTAGGCCTAAAATGTACTGCAGTATAAAGAACTTTTCCATTAATGAAAACAATCTTTCAGATGGTCTTGCAGTTATTGAATCAGGGGTAACACATGGCCAAGATAAAAATGATGACAAACTATAAAAATGAAAGAAAAGAAAAAGGCGAGGACATTTTAATCTATCTAATCTCTGCCTGAAGGTCTCAGAAGTTGGCAGAAAAATACAGCTTTTGAAAATAAATGGACCTGACTAACTCAATTCACTGAGCAGGTGTATAACAGACTAGACACAGGGTTAACTTTTTTCAGGAAGATCACAGATTTGTGTAGGAGGAAATTCTGATATATTGTTAAATGAATCCCAAAGGAGATGAAGCTGGATATGATGTACCAATGTTCTTCAGGTATTAAGAAAAATATGAACTGAACTGCAAAATTCAGACCCAGATTTCTAATGGCTTTGTTACACATTGCACTTTGAGCTGCTCAAATGTTGATCGATGTTACTGCTAGGTCAAGTGTGGAGCAGTCACACCTCAAGACTAAAAATCTTCTCTGACTATCCCCCAACCGCACAGCTGTAACTTGTCACTAGAGGGTTTGCAAGCAGAAGCCTGACTAGGAGCTACAACTCTGACTTGCCAATACAGGGCTGATGAGTCAGGGCAGGCTTCTATCCCACCTCAGGATGGGGGTGTGTGAGAGATTGGTCTGGGGGGGGCAGGAATATAAAGCTGGGAGACAGAGAGTTAATAGGAGGGGTGGGTAATGAAATGGGAGGTGGAAGCTGGAGGAAGGGTACTGAAATGAAGTAAATCATTCACTGAAGGATAAAATTAGAAAAAAACCCCCAAGAATTTAAAAAGAAATAAAGAGGGAATAAATTTAAACAGTTCTTATGTTTTAATAAATTGGGATTTTGATTTGAGGTGTGGGGGTGCTAGTCACACTTCCCAGGGAAGCTGAAAGGTGGGAGTGGTGAGGCAAGGTGCTTTTGGGGGAACTACTGCCCCTGCCCTAGGAAGGAAGCCCTAGCTCATGGGGACCTGATCTGGCCCTCTGCCTGGTTCCCCCTCACCCTCCCTAGACCCCACTCCTAGACCCATCCATGTCCTGTGACCTGGCTAGCTGGCACTTGCTCTGCAGGCAGTTTGCATGGGGTTGCACACCTGGGGTGGGAAGGTCCCACCCCCAGAGGCAGGAGAGGGAGATGACTTGGTGCCAGAACTGCCACTTGGGTAGTAGAGTTCATGGGGTGGAAAGTCTGTCCACACAGAACAGGAGGGTGGGCAAGGGGACACTAAACCCTGGGATCCTGGAGGACTGCAACTGGAGTGACTCATCTGTTAGGAGTGGCCAGATATTAGTGGAACACAGGCTAGGTAACAGATCAGAGATGAACCTGCCTGGGAGTGGTTTAACTTTAAGCCACCTAAAATGTGTTTAAAACTAGTTGCATGTTAATGTACGGTCAAACCATATGTTAACAGCTCCAGGCACTGCCTAAAATTCATGTGTAAGAAATCCCTAAATTTCGCAGGTGTTTGAATTAAGGTTTAAAAAATAGAGTCATGAAACCCAATCAAGATAAAACCATACATTCCCACATTCTTCCCACTACCAAAAATGTATGAAAGTATTCAGACTCAGTGGCTGCAGAAGACTTTAAAATAACTGACTAAAATAAAATAGATAACACTTTTTGTTTTGTCATAATTTTCATTTCAGGATTTCTTGTCCACAGGGAAACCTCATCAAGATGACTAACCATCACTAACAGCTAACGAGTTTTGAAAGTTGCTGCATTCTACATTCTGATATCTAGACTAATTGGGTGTAAGGTACAATTTTTTAACTTTCAAAGTCAGCACTGTTGTTGTTCTGTAATATAAAAAAAAGTTCTGCAAACTGTAGATCAGAGATAAAGAAAAAACCCAATTAGTGTACTATATATAGCTATCTTCCTCTGGGACAGGGAAGGTGTGCGCCCAGGGAAGAGAGTGTTGCATAAAATTCCCTGGGCCTGTTTAATCAATTTTGTTTTGGTCATAACAAAGGTTTTGGGATTTTTTTTTGTAAAAACATACACATTCTAGTAGGCTCATGCAGGTATAACAACATTTTCATCATAAATAATATAAATGGAGTTATAAAATAGGGGCTGGGGGGGAGGGGAGGGGAGGGCAGAGGGAGAGGGAGAAGCAAGGGCTATTCTTCCTTTAATATCTCTAGGATATTTTAACAACCTTCACAACAATATGACATTGGCCACCGTGTTCCCCCTGCTTTACCTGTGGCACATTAGGTTGTTATGTCTTGTGATTGTGTCAGGGTTGACTATGTAGTTTTGATAATAGGTTAGACAATGGTTTTGTGTAGGATGGTTTGGATAGGGATGTTCCTGCCTTTGGCAGAGGGTTGGACTAGATGACCTCTGGAGATCTCCTCCAGCCCTCGTTTTCCATGGTCCTCTTTGAAGCCACCAGCCACTAATAACAACAGCTACTACTAGAATAATATTTAATGAATTTACAAAATTTTGGGGAACAAGTGTTTACTAAAGAGAGATTCTGAAGCCCTTGGTACTGTTCTAAGCTGCAATCCATCCTTGATTAACCAATATCTGGAGGATGACAGAATCTTGCAGACATTAACAAGGAGCTAAAAACTTATGTACAGAATATATTAGCTCAGGGGTTCACTGCAAAGCCCTCATATACCAGACTACTAAATGTAATTTAAAAAATCTAGATAAATTAAAAACAAGAGCCTCACTATCAGCATGAGGCTCTGGAAAGTCTTCAATTTTTTGTTAGTATCGCTTTTTAGTGAAACGACAGATTTTCTAAGGAGCACAGCACACCATAGCTTTCTTTTCAGCTAAGCACTTTTAAAAATATGGCCATTTCATTTGTACGACAAAATGAAATTTAAGTTCTTTTGAAAATCGGGCTCTAAGATCGAAGTGATCCTAAACAATATTATAGGCTGCCTATACACATGGTTGTTCCCGTTCTAATTAGACTGCTTCAGCATCGCCTCACTGTCACTTGTATTAAGCTCCCATGCATCCTCTAAGTTGGCACCTGGACCTGGTGCCCCATTTGTCTTGCTCTAGTCGCATTACTGTTAAAGACCAATGTATTAAGTGGAAGTCAGAGTCCTACAAGCCTTTCACTTCCTGTCTTTTAAGAACCACTGTTCTTTGTCATTGCCCAGCTATGAGATAACATAAATAAGCTATTTCAGAGTACAGTGGCTGATATCAGGCACCTTCGCAAATTTCACTAAATAGTCTAACTTGTGAAATACCCTTTTTGTAGCACATATGGCTCAGTTATTGGTTTTATTAGACATAACACAGGCTTTCAGTCATTGCATATTTATGTTTATTGAACTATGAATCTGCTGTCGAAAGTGTGGTTTGTATTGCGGTGTCATTTGCAAGAGCAAACTAAAGGTAGAGATAGTTTTATGAGCTTCTTATATAACACTGAAACAATGTTCATTGTAGGTTTTGGTACTCAGACTTAGAATATCTACAATAGCAAAGCACTGCAGCAACAGCTTTATTACTTCCAAAGCCCTGATGCTTATGGATATCCTCTTGCCATATAACTAAAGGAAAAATGGGCAATAAAATACAAAATACTGCATAAGCAGTTGGCATAGCACTCAGTGAAAGGTCTGTGATAACAATTCTTAAAGGGGACAAAGGAAAACTTATTTCTGTAAATGGGGCCAAACCTGTGAGTTCCAGATGTTGAACACTTTTATCTCCCTATTAAATTGATGGGATTTGAGGGTGTTCAGGACTAGGTAGACTTTTCCCCAAACATGTTGGTATGTTTCACATAAAAATGAGTTCACAAAGATAACAGAGTACAGCATTAAAGGAGACTTGATCATAAAGAAATATTCTCAACAGCTCAAAGCAATGCGGAATAGCTTTTTCAATCATTCATTGAAACAACTATATTGATTTCCAGCTTTGGCTTTCTGAAGCTTGCCAAAATGCAAAAGTTTTATTTAACATACTTGTTTCTTTTAGTTCCTCTCTTTTGGCTGCTGGAGACATAAAGAGAACAATGTCTAAATTAGTGCAGTTTTGGTTTGATTTAATATACATGAGTCAACTACAGTGCAGTAGATGCATTATGAATTTAGCCCTGTAAATTTAAACATACTCAATAAAGAGAATACTGTGACAACTTGGGTTGTCTTTACATTTCTCAGACATGCACTAATGCTATGCCACACTTCATACTATTTATTTCTAAGTAATTCCATTCAGTTCAGTAGAGCTGCTCTTGGATGTACTGGGTGCATCTACATATGTGTTTTACTGTGGAGTAGACTAATTAGGTCTGCAGGAAAGTGTCACAATTTACACGTGTGCTGGTATTAGGGCACAGTAAATAAATTAACTCCACCATAAGATCGTACTGTCAGGAACAGTACAATCTTATGGCAGAGTAATTAAGTGTAATGAAATGCACATTTGGACGGTGACAGGGGCTGGCTGGGATATGAGGATGCTAAGGCATGGGGGCTGTCTGCCACCTAGCCATATGACTCTGCAGTCTCAGCACCCTTGTGTCCTAGCCAGCTCTGAAGCCACCACACAGAGCCCGGGGCTGACCCCCCATTCCCTGTGCCAGCCGGGGCTGTTCTGCCTTGGCTGAAAGTGCTGATATCCTAGGTACACGTGTAGATGCTGTGCCTGGGAGCAGTGTTCTTCAGCTGAAACTGCTCTGAAGTTTATCGTGTCACCTTAACTTCACATGTAGATGTACCCACTGTTTAACATCAACGAGTATATCTGTTAAGGAAACATGATCTAATGGTGAGAGCAGGGCAATAGCAATTAGGACATCTGGGTTCTAGCTCCTTCTCTACTATTGACATGCTGTGCGACCATGGTCTGGCACTTCAGCCAGACTGTGAACCTATTATTCACTCTGGAGAGCAGTTATTATCACAAGCAGCCCTAGCCACTACAATGGGATTACTTACAAAGCTAGGTAATACCTTAAGAAGCTTCTGGTCCAGCATGCTCTGATTTCCCCATTTGTAAAACAGAACTGTCAGATGCTCTGTCACATTCAGAGAGCCAGCCATAGCCTTGCAGGGCAAGCAGGTAGAGCTGAGGCTGGATTGCCATAGTAACCATCTAATGGGATTAATTTGGAGGCACCTGCAAGCAGCCCCAAGAAAGTCAGCTGACTGGAAAAGCGGCAGGGCCTGAGGAATATTAGGCAGCTCCAGAAGATGACTTGGCAGTCTGGCTGGGACTGAGCAAGAGGGATCTCTGCAAAGGTGCCTGTGAGGTAGCAGGAGCCACTGAATACGCTAGGCCTTCAGTCAACCAGAGAGCCAAGGGCTAGCAAAGGATTTAAGCCCAGGATAGGAACAGTCATTTAATTAGAGCTAGAGGGCTTGTCGTCTTCTTTGGCAATCCCTTGTACTCAAGAATAATAATCTTCCATGGTTGCCTTATCTGTGTCTGAAGATGGCTGATGTGACCTATTCAGGATCAACAGACTCTACTGCAGCTCAGACATGTGTTTCCACATGGGGTGGGTGGTGCTGGATTTTTTATTTGGTCTGTGACATGTAGTTTCTGCTGCTCTCACTTTTCCATCTCCTGTTGTTGTCATGAGGTTTCAAAATACTGAGATCCCTGCAGCAGACTCTTCCTCCATTTGGAGTGGTCCTGGGCAATAGTCTCCCACAAGTTGATACTGAAGTTGAATTTTTTAAGTTGGCCTTGAGGACGTCCCTGAAGCACTTTCCCTGCCCTCCTCTATACACCTTGGCTAACCTAGGAGAATAAAACTTGCTTCAGGAGTCTGAAGTCAAACATCCAAGCTGACATGGCTGGCCCAATGAATTTAATGTAGGATGGTCATCACCTCAATACCCATGGTGTTTGCTTGCAGGAGGATGCTAATATTGGTGCATCTGTCTTCCCACTGGATTTGGAGGATCTTCTGCAGGCAGCATTAATGGTATTTCTGCAACAACTTTAGATGTCTCCTGTACGTTGTCTGTGTCTCAGCTCCATATAGAAAGATGGGGATCACAACTGCTTGATAAACCATGAACTTGGTCTGTGATCTGATGTCACAATCTTTGAACACCCATTTCTTCAGGAATCCAAAGGCTGCACTTGCACATTTGAGGCGATGTTGGGTTTCTTCATCAGTTTCAGCTGTCTGCAAGAGATGGCTTCCAAGGTATGGGAAATACTCAACATTCTCCAGTGTCTCACTGTGGATCTGGACTGTTTATTAGGATCATTAAATGTCAGTTCCATTTTCGTGTATGCTTCGGTAAAGACATTGACAATTGCCTGAAGGTCTGCTTCCAAATGAGCACTCACTATAGCACCTTCTGTATACTGGAGCTCAATGATTAAGGTCAGTGTGGTCTTGGTTTTGGCTTAGAATCATCCACTCAGTAGTTTAGCTCCACTCTGACTGAAAGCTTGTTGGTGGTCAGATGTAGGATTGTGGCAAGGAATTTTAAGAAGAGTGTTGGAGTGATGATGCAGCCTTGCTTAACTCCTGTTTTAACCTCAAAGGGATCTGTGGTAGATCCATAACTGAGAACCATTGCCCACATGCTGTCATGGAGCAGGCAGAGAATAGTGACAAATTTTGGTGGGTGTCCATACTTTGGAAGGGTCCTTCACAACACTTCTTGGCTGATAGAGTTGAAAGCTTTTATGAGGTCAAAGAAGGCCATGTAAAAAGACTTATGTTGTTCCCAGCATTTCTCCTGGAGCTGGTGAGTTGTGAAGATCATTTCAGTTGTGCCTCTTGATGCCCTAAACCCACACTGAGATTCCTGGAGGAGCTATTTCAAAAAACCCCCTTAACTGTAGGTAAATCAAACCTTTATATATGACAAAGAAAGCAATGCTTTTGTATTAACAAGAGATAGCTACATCAGCATTCTTTCATGTTCTAATTTACTGTATAAAAACATGCAGATCCCACCTACCTTTTGCCATGTGGGTTTCCAAAGATACTGTAAAACAAATGAAAATGTTCTAAGAAACAAATTGCAAAATCCATACAATATAAAACAATAACTCAATGGCTGTCCCATTGGACAAGATGCTACATATTTCCAGCAAGCCAATCTGAGAACTCCTCAGTTTCTTACCGGAAGGAACACAATATTTGTCCCAGATTTAAATGTTTTCACTGCAGATGTTTAACTTGAACTAATTTAACTTGATTAAAAAGCTAAAGAAAACAAATTTAGCAAGTAAGATATGTGTGGAGCTAAAAAAAATACACATTTTCAGCTAGCGAAAAATGAAGCAGGAATAGAAATACAGATTCAGTATCTATAGAGACATAAGCTAACACACAAAGTAGGTGATTACTGAGATACCATTTAAAAAACTAAAAAAAATGTTGGCAGTTGAGAACATTTGTCTCAATTCAATTTAAGACTCAGCATATAGATTATAAATAAGGAGCACTCAAGTGTTGACAAACATAATACAGTCTAAATTCAAAACTCTGTGGAACGTGTCACATATTTCAGTCTAATTGTCCTACCAGTGTTTTCTTCTTAATTACTAAATTGTCTTTTTTCCTAAGTAAAAAAATTGATCTATGTCATACATCTTATTTCCTCATTCACAGGTTCTTCATACTTATTATCTGCTGAAGTAGGTTTATATGCTTCATATGCCCTATCATCTGCTTGGCAGAAATGATAATGACCTACTTAGAGAGCTATCTATTGAAGATGTTTATTTTCATTGTAGAGATTGTCCTGGAAACTCATCTGGAGGTACTAGATGTCGTTGCAGAAAATATGCTCCCAAGTAAAACCAAAAGGAAAAATTAAAGCTTATATGCTCTCCTTATTTGGATGAATTTAAGAATCTTGTTAGGCATAACCTTTCCCATGTGTTAAATGCCCATAAGACTTGAGTGTTTGAATATTAAGACAGGAAATCATTAAGAGAGGAAAAATGCCCTCTGAGCATCTTAAAGTTACGCATCTTTGGGCAAAGATTATCTCCAGATGGTGTTAATATGTGTTGCAGTAATGTCAGTCTGCTCCACAGGGCCAAATACCAGCAATTTGTGGCCCTCCAGTATCCCAGGATGCATCACTCCCAGGGGGGTGGCCCGGCCTGGCAGGTGCCTACCACTGGGCTCTGGAGCGCAGGGAGCACAGGTGCATGGAGTGGATGTAAAAGCACCCTAAGGGTGGTGTCACACTTTCAACTTAATACTTAGTAAATAGTTAATAGTCAAGCAGCTGTATATTTAAGCAGTTTAGCAAGTGTTAGATGACCTCTTAGCATTGCAAAATTACTCCCTCTGAGGTGAAGATTCTCTCCTTAATACATCCTAAATTTTATATAGGTCACTAGATCCCAAAGATTTGCAACTCTTGCAAGTGAACACGTGACAAGGCCCTAAGAAATGGATCCAAGCTAGAATCAAAAGACCATGACCTGCAAGAGGCCTCTTTTGTCTTCTCTATTTAAATTAAATCTAGTTAAAGGAAATCACATATTGCACTTAGGACATGTTTTATTTAGATTGTAATAAATATTTTTATGAGATAGAAAGGTTTCTGAGCAGGACAGGGCTGGAGCCTGTTGCACAGTTGTTAAACAGCTGATTGTCAATCCTGGTCCCCTACCATACTGGACTCTAGAATTGGCTGTTTAGGTGGAAAGGCTGGGATCAACTATCAGCTGTGCCAGAGCTGGTGAGGAGTGCTGGTATTATCTCCTTTGAGCAGTCTCATGATAGCCTAATGCATATTATTTAACACAATCTGGAGATATTCCTCACTTGAAAAGTCCTAATTTTACCCATACAATAGCAGGTATTGTTCTGGTTGAACACAGAGATTCTCACGTTTTAAGTGCAGTTAACATGTTCAAAGTGTAACATGAGACAAGACCCATAATTTGTTCGGACAAAAAGCCCAAACTGAAGTATGCTTTTCTTTTTTATTCATTCTCAGCTCATCTGAACCTTCCCCTCTACCCCGCTCTCCCTTCAGAATCCCTTTCCCTCTTGAACAAATAATCATGTACATTTTTATTTCAGCTTTCTCAATTTTTTAAAAGATATGTGTCCTACTTAGCTGTACTTAACTGGATCTGAAGTACAAGAACATGGAAGTATGGTGAGCTCATGTTCCATAACCATTCTGATTTTTCAAATAAATGTGACTACATTGGCAAGTCTGTACCTGTCTAGTGCTGTACTTTTTCTATGCCTGCCCCTAAGTGAATGCAAGCTGGTTATGTTTAAGTTAAGATTAGTTTTAAACAAGACTAAAAATATATTTTTTTTCATAGGTCTTACTAGGTGGTTTCACTGGTACTACAGGTACTTCCTTTTTTGATGGTTTGGCAGGTACTACAGGTACTTCCTTTTTTGATGGTTTGGCTGGTACTACAGGTACTTCCTTTTTTGATGGTTTAACTGGTACTACAGGTACTTCCTTTTGTGATGATTTGGCTGGTACTACAGGTACTTCCTTTTTTGACAGTTTGTCAGGTACTACAGGTACTTCCTTTTGTGATGGTTTGGCTGGTACTATAGGTACTTCCTTTTTTGACGGTTTGTCAGGTACTACAGGTACTTCCTTTTGTGATGGTTTGGCAGGTACTACAGGTACTTCCTTTTTTGACAGTTTGTCATGTACTACAGGTACTTCCTTTTTTGATGGTTTGGCTGGTACTACAGGAACTTCCTTTTTTGATGATATGGCTGGTACTACAGGAACTTCCTTTTTTGATGGTTTGTCAAGTACTACAGGTACTTCCTTTTTTGACGGTTTGGCTGGGACTACAGGTACTTCCTTTTTTGATGGTATGGCTGATACTACAGATACTTCCTTTTTTGACAGTATGGCAGGTACTACAGGTACTTCCTTTTTTGATGGTTTGGCTATAACAAACAAGAAAAGAGTGAATGGTTAGTTTATTACATGTGCCAAACATTTCAATGCAGTTTAACTGAAAAATAAGAGAAGAAAATGTTAGAAACTGGTGATTCTAATTACAACTGTTCCTTCTTGTGATGTTCTGGGTAAGGGAAAAACAAAATATTACTTTGTGCATTGCTGATATATTTATTTCTCTTAGTGTTTTTTAAGCAAATTGAGTTAGATGAAAAACTAATATCCAGTACCTAAAACATCATTTAAAAGTCATATTGTTTGATGCTAAAAGGATATGCTAAAAGCAAAAGGAAAACACTCTATATCCTTTGACAAACTAGGACTATGACTCCCAACCTTCTCCATGCTAAGATTTTCTCAGTATATCACTTTATCTAGCCAGGACTCACCTCCTTATGACCACTATTCATAACTCAACAAAAATTTAACACAATGGATATGACTAACAAGGGAGGAGGAAAATAAATACCAATTTGAAATTATAATGTTTCTTATTAGTATGAACTAAAATGCATATTTAAAAAAAAGAGATGAATTAATTTGCAAATGAAATAATTATGGTTAAAAGTATGAACAACAGTGTTTATGTATAGGTTTGGTTCCACAAAAGGGACTTGCTTTAAATTCAGGAATGTTTGAGCTGCATGTCCTGTACAGAGGAAGAGGTACTTCTCCAAGGTACCTTAAAAAAAATCTGACATCATTAGTTATATCTTATCAGTACCTAATTTTCACATGTTTTCTTTAATCCTAAAGCAGGAACTGGGAGATGCTGCTGCTTTTCTGTGTTCTTGGAGAACACAGAACAGTAGCAGTCTCCCAATGGCTGAAGAAGGGTGTTTGTGCCCAAAAGCTTGCAAAAAACTTTTTTTTCCATCCATTTAATTGGTCTAATAAAAGATATCACATCTACACAAAGAATCTTGCCTGTCTATGTCTTTAAACCAACACAGCTACAGACAAAAACCCTATAATCACAGTATGACAAAGTTTAACTTCCATTAAATAGCCTTCCACCTTCAGTTTATTCACTAGTATGTCATATACACAACTATAGCCAAGCGTGTTTTAACCAGAGAAAACAGTTTCTATATTTTAGGAAAAAAATTAATCATTCTGACCTGACACATGATATTTAATTAATGTTACTCTCTAAAACCCAAACCTATCCTTTATATTTGTACGCTGCAGCTCCTAATGAGGGAAGCCAATAGCATCAAATGCCTTTCAGTTTTATTTGCCTGTCATTTTCTCATTTACTGGTTCAAGGAAGAAAGGTTCATTACCATATCTGCTATCATAATTTTTACAGGGTAGTCTGTCCTCTTAAGAAAGGGCAGCACGTTTAAGTATGTCCAGCTGTGGGGCATTCTGCTAATGAAGTGTCCCCCTGGGAGCTTTAAAATCCCAAGGGAGAGAGCAAAAGGAAGCTACCTATGAAGGAACTGCTTGAAAGAAGGAGAATCCAGGCTGCTGTGCTGGAAAACAGCCAGAGGAGAAACTGGCTCTTCTCCTAAGGTCCAGAGGGGGCGGAGGATTTGGTTTGTTTGTGCTGTGACAGACCGAAGTGTGTTTGGTAGGAATTAATCTGTCTGATGAATTAATAGGAGAACTAATTCGATTGCAAAAGTCAGCAAGATAAAGGACCTGCTTATAGCTATACATTTCATTTTCTAAACAGTTCACGAATAGGTCCCATTGCTGGAACACCAGGAATAAAACCTGTCCCCTAGTAAAGTTTTGGCACCAGCTTAATAGTTCCCAATAGAAATGAAACCTGTCTTGGACTCACAGCAATTTCTTCTGAGGTAGAAGTCCTAAAATTATATTTTGTAAATGTAATGGATTAAAGACACTCTAGCTTCATCTCTGGAAGGTGATATAATCAGAAGGACATCTTCTTCCTTCTGGCACTCAGCATCACCCTCTGGCATTCAGTCACTCTTAAAGACAGATGATAACCTTCCTACAATGACAGTTAAGTCTTTTTTTTTCCCTTTTACTCTATCAGTGTCAGATAAGAAGTGTTTTCTAATTAAAATGTATTGAAAGTTCCCAAAAAGAGTAATTCAAATAATCCCTTGGAAACCTGTTTGGTGGACTTTAGTTTACCAGACATGAATGAGCAGAAATCAGCTAGGTTTCATGTCTCCCTATGATCTTCAAGACATATTCATCTCCTTTTCATATTGTTTTAATATAATGAACAATTATAAAACTTAGACTATAATGGCCATGTCTACACAAGCAGCTGACTGTGCAGTTGATACTGTGCAGTCATTTAGTACTTGCTTAACCAAGTAAGTGGTAGGGGTCTGCTACAGACCCCCACATCAAGGGGAAGAAAGGGATTCGGGGCTCCTGAGGCAACTCTCAGAGACCATAAAAGCTAAAGAGGCAGTAGTCATGGGGGACCTAAACTACCCGGACATCTGCTGGGAGTCACAGACAGCAAAGTCCCTCTGCTCATGCAGGTTTCTAACCTGTGTACAGGACCTCCACCTGACACAGGAGGTACACAGTCCCACTAGGGGGAATGCCATACTGGATCTGGTATTGGCAACGGGGGATGACATGGTTGGGGACCTACAGATTGGTAGCCATCTGGGGGACAGTGATCACCTAATAATAGAATTCACCATAAGACATCGAGTGGGTAAGGTAACTAGTAGGGTGAAAGTGCTAGACTTTAGGAAAGCTGATTTCAATGAACTCAGGTGATTAGTCAAGGACGCACTGCAGAGTAGGAGTTTTGAAGTGATGGGAGCCCAAGAAGGGTGGCTGTGTCTTAAGGAAATGATCCTTTGGGCACAAAGCAAGGCGATCCCCGAGCGAGGCAAAAGGGGGAAAGGGGCCAGGAGGCTTCCCTGGCTGACCAGAGAAATCCAGGTCAGCCTAAGGGACAAAAGGGGAGCACATAAAAAGTGGAAACAGGGAGACAATGATTAACCACCCACATTGTTTGGAAGTTCTTCCTAATGTCTGATCTTAATCTGCTTTACTGCAGTTTAAGACCATTATTTTTTGTCCTGTCTCCTGGAGCCAAAGAGAACAGTCAGTCACCATCTTCTTTATAACCACCCTTCAGGTGTTAGAAGGCTTTCATCAAATCCCACCCCTGTTGTCTTTTCTCTGCACCAAATAGTCCCAGTTCTTCCAAACTTTCCTTGTAAATCACGTTTCTTGGACTTCTAATAATTTTTGTTGCTCTTCACTGGACTATTTCCAATTTTTCTTTCTTTTTCCTTGAAGTACAGAACACAAACTAAAAGCAATACCCCAGGTAGGCCTCCTCAGTGCTGACCAGAGTGGAACAATCACTTCCCTTGATAACCAGATTAGTTTTAATTACAGGCTTTAAAGGGGGAACTTTGTCTACTGGTTACATCCCTTGGGAATGTCTACAGGTGCATGTTTTGGCCTCTGGAGGGCACTCTTGTGCTTTGGAGTATATAAAATTATGTGATTTATATTGACAGTAGATGTGGACCTCCTTTAAAAATAAAGGACTAGATCCATTTATCGCTCTCTCTTTCTGGTTTATAGCATCATCACTAGTTCCTTTGGAGAAGGAATTGGAATTAATCTAGATTTGCTTCAACATAACTGAGATTAGAATTAGACCCAGACGTTGGAAAGCAACATTTAGTGTATTAATTATGTCATTAGTGCTTTTGCATCATGTATTGCCTTAAGTTCAAAGTGTAGTCAACAGATTAAGAGGTGCAAAGCACCAAGAGCATTCCTTCAAGCCCATCCAATGCCCATGTCCATCCTTGAAGGCCAGGGATGGCTGAATCAGCCTAGGAAGGACTTCCCAATACATAATAAAAGCAAATCCCTCAATGCAATTATTTAGCCTGAACATTTTTCCATCTGGGGAATACTTCTGCGTTTCTGGGTTCCAGTCCGGGTAGGAAGTAGAAGTGCTGTGGTACTTTATTGCGGGGTGTGTGTTAATCTCATCATCTATTTGGCCTAACCAGAAGCGAGAAGGATGGTAAATCTAGGGATCAGTTTGTGCACATAAGATATGGACCTGGACAGGTTGGACAAGTGGGCAGAAAACAACAGAATGCAGTTCAACAAGGAGAAATGCAAAGTGCTGCACCTAGGGAGGAAAAATGTCCAGCACACCTACAGCCTAGGGAATGACCTGCTGGGTGGCACGGAAGTGGAAAGGGATCTTGGAGTCCTAGTGGACTCCAAGATGAACATGAGTTGCCAGTGTGACGAAGCCATCGAAAAAGCCAACGGCACTTTATCGTGCATCAGCAGATGCATGACGAATAGGTCCAAGGAAGTGATACTTCCCCTCTGTCGGGCGCTGGTGAGACCGCAGTTGGAGTACTGCGTGCAATTCTGGGCACCGCACTTCAAGAGGGATGCGGATAACCTGGAGAGGGTCCAGAGAAGGGCCACTCGTATGGTTAAGTGCCTGCAGGCCAAGCCCTACGAGGAGAGACTAGAGAACCTGGACCT